TGCCGCATGGAAACAAGGACTGGTCCAGCTCCAGGGCGACTCTTGGTAAAGCAGTCGATGTTCTCGACTCCTTTTTGTTGGCCGTTTTAATATGACGGGTCAGAGCATCCCTCCGAGAGAAATTCTTGGCGCAACGACAGGTCTTGTCGCCATTGGGAGCATGTAGAATAGGGACGAACTCGAGAGCGATAGGTTGGCCTGCGGGGGGGGTCGAGCCTGACGAGCCGTCATCGCGGTTGGTAGTCCGGATCGGCTGGTCGCCGAGCAGAACGGTATTGGAATTATGCAAAACGGGGATGAACTCGGGGGCGACAGATTGGCCTGTGAAGGGACTCAAACCAAGCGAGTTGCCATTGCGGTTGGCAGTCCAAACCGGTTGCTCGCTGAGCAGGACCGCACTGGGATCATGGGGAACAGGATGGAACTCCGCGAGGATGGGTCGACCGACAGAAAGGCCCCACGAGTCGTTGACATCGGAATTATCAGACCAAGCGGGCGTGTTGATGGCAAGGGTGGCGGCATCGGAATCATGATGAATGAGGTTGGGCGCCAGGGGGAAGGGTTGGCCCCCAAGATGGCCATTGAAGGCATGCAAAACGGAGCTAAACCCTGGGGGGGACGGTTGACCCCCAGGGGGGCCCAAATCCAGCAAGTTGCCGGAATCAGTGGTGCGATGGCCTTCGGTGGGGGCCGATGCAGCCGACCCCGGTTCCCCGACACCGTTACTCGCTGACCAGTGCGGCCTCAAAAGTGGGTTAGTAAAAAAAAAAAAAAAGCTCACCAATAGGTTGCCAGTATTGCGCTTCCTGAACTTCGGCAAGTCTCGCAAGGAAGGACACACGTCCAGCGAGCGACATCCATTAGCCAGTGATGACCATCGTCCTCGTAATTGAGTTGGCGGTCCCCCATACCGCGATTGCGGGCGACAAAAAATATTAGGTATGGTCGGGATGAGGTCGATGGGGAGGAGGAAGTCTGTTGCGATTGCGGAATCGGCAAAAAGGCGGAAGACGACGGAAGGTTAAGCGGTAATGATAGGAAGCAAAAGTTGATGGGGAAGAGAGAGATGATGGCACCTTTGCGAAGCTGCCCAGTCCGGTCTACACCGCCTTCAGTTCCTACCAAATAGCCAATCGAAGCGTTCAGCCACCACCCTAAATTTTCCACACACCCCTCTGTGGTGCAACGTCGTCCTCTCCAATCATAACATCGCTCCCACTCCCCCACCCTGTTACACCACACACCCTCCAACGGAGCACAGCTCACACCGCAACTGGACGGGGTGCAACTCGGGAGCCAAGAAAGTCCATGACACCCCATAATCGGCCTGTTCTGTTCAAGTGTTTTGCATCGAGAACACTACATCGCAAAGAAGCCAAAGACCAACACGCGAAGTGAGTAGTATGACTACAAAACCCTTGACCGGACACGTCCCCACCGAGGTACTCGACGTAGAAGGACTGCACAACTTGTCTACTAAGGCCATGTCTTCGGGACCGGATAGCGAGCGCCCAAAGCCTTTCCGCTGTACGGAGGGGAGGTGTCGCGACACACCTCTTCATTTTGAAACCCGGGGACAACTACGGCAAGTACCAACCTGACGGTTCCCCTCGCCATGATAAGTACTAGACTCTAATTTTGCCAACAGGAGACACCAGCGCTGTCACAACAAGCCTTTTTCATGTCCAGACTCAAAATGCCGTCGAGAGAAACCTCCCATTGCCTTTAGCTACAAGAAGGATCTCAGACGACACCAAAAGACAAAACACGATGCCCCGAGATACAATTGTCAATACTGCGGCATGATGAGCGGTCGAAAGGACAACCTCGAGCGACATATCCAAAACAACCACGGGGGTGGCCTATGTGCGGCGATAGAGAGCGGGGATCAAGAGGCAGTTGTGTCTTGTTTTTGCGGTGCCGATCCCCAAGCAGTCTTGCAGGAAAAGGATGGGGATGGAAACACGCCGCTTGCTATCTCTTGCCTACATTGCCACACCTCCATTTTGCAGATCCTTCTCGAAAATGGCGCTGCAGAGTTGAGCCCACTTGACTCCAGCCTTTCGCTATGGATCTCCATCCTTGGCGGACAACACGAAGCAGCTGAGCTCCTACGCAACATGGGGGCAACGGAGAACGAAATCGACGAGGCCCGAAAGGCCAAGGCCCTAATAGGGGCAGTGAAGAGGGGAAATATATCGTTCATCGAGCGGTACTTGGATGGAGGCGGCGATATCGACATCACCGACGAACAGGGATCAACTCTTCTCAAACAAGCAGTCCAGAGCGAAAACAAAGCCATGGTTAAGCTCCTCATCGAAAGAGGTGCCACTAATGAATGGACGATCATGGACGCAGCAAGGGATGGTCATGTGGCGCTGCTAGACGCGATGTTGGACGCCAAATTGGGGCCTGAATGGCATGGCGACCATGCCACGCTCCTTGAAATATTCGAGGATTGGTTGGTTTGGCATAAAGGAGTCCTCCATCTGATTCTCGGCCGGGGATTATCCCACGAAACGAGGTACGCCAAATCAGAAACATTGCTCCACAGAGCCACCAAGCGGACAGTTCGAGCAATGGCTGCCCGCGTACTTCTTCGGGCGGGAGCGAACCTCGAGGCGCTGAACGACGATGGCCGCACTCCACTTCACCTTGCCGCCCGACTGGGGAACGGCATCGCGCAACTCTTGATAGAGAGCGGTGCTAGCCCTAACGTATCCGACCGTGAGGGAAATACGCCTCTGCATTTAGCAGTTGAGGGGGGTAACTTGAGAGTCGTGGAAGCACTCCTTAGTCATGGGGCCGACGTTAAGACAGTAACAAAAACAGGCAGGACGCCCATTCATATGACTCATGGCGTGTATCACTATGAAGGGTTCAATACCATCCTCTCAAGGTTGGTAGATGCCGGTTCCGACATCAACCATGCCGACAACAACGGAAATACTCCCCTTCACCTGGCCTTCATGGAATCCCACTTTCGATTCGCAGAGTTACTGCTTGAACGGGGAGCGGACATGCACAAGGCAAACAAGGAAGGGAAAACCGCCCTGGATTTGATGCCTCCCTATCGAGGGAAGGTCCCTGACCGTGTGCGTGCTTTCATCAAGCGCATAAACACGGGCCGGGAGTTGATCAGGTAGTTTGGAGGAAAGTAACGGTCGATATCAAAGAGGCAACTAATACCGTCCTATCCTGAAATTTCTTCAAGACAATCTACCTAGGTACTTACATTCCTTAATATCACCTCAAATCGGGAGGTAAGCGCAGCAGGTTCTACCAAGCTGTGCAAGGTCCAAGAGTGGGCTAGGAGTCACAAGCGATTACACAAGGGCATGGGGCATTATTAGGTATTGCCTTGGTAACCCCACGCGGGCTCAGGATTCTGCCGCGGATTCGAATCAGTCTCGTCACCGGATTGGATCAGGTGTGTATGAGGAATATCTCAACTGCGTTGGTTGATATGTTGAAAATCCCTTTCCAGCTTCCTGCATGTCCACAACAGCTCGGTTATGCAAGAAATACGTGTGCTGTTTTTTCAGATCCCCACGGCCGTGCTACGTCGGCACCAAGCAGGGTGAGCTTGGCAAGTCACTTTCCCGCAGGCTTGCCATCAGATTTGCCACCGAGACACCACTCTCGCCTGACGTTCACCGAGGTTTCCAAATGCTGCGCGTCGTGATTGGATGCGCAGTTCTCGTGTGCAGTGCTGTTTGCTCCGACGTGTTACGTGTATGACCCCAGGGCCGCCAACAGCAACATCAACTCCGAGCTGACCATCCCTGTGGAAATTCAATGTCTGCGTTTGTCTACTTAATCACAAGCTTTGTCGTCCGTCGTGAGCTCTAATCTGTGACAAGCTCACCTCCAAACCTCCAAGCTGATAAACCTTCAATTCATTGACCGAGCTTTCCCAGTGTTCAATCCCTTCGATAAGTCTCGCTTCAATTCCCGAAGGAGGCCACACCTCATCACCAAAGTCATCATGGACAAGCCCCATCGCTCCCGCGCCCACCGAGCCCACCGCGCTCCAACCCGCCCCCCCTACATGTCCGGCGGTCTCCACCCGACACCTCCAGTCTTCAATCGTCCCTCGTCTTCTTCATCATCCTCATCCTCCTCCCTCAACGAAACCCAATCGTCCAACCGATCCCGTGAAGACGCTCAGCGTCATGCCATAACCGGTTCCATCCTTCATGGCAGGGAGTACCGCCGTATCACCGAAGATGAGTACGCTCGTAACGAAGCAATGCATCGACAAGCTATCGCGAGGCAACAGAGCGAGTACAGTCCCGTCAGATACGAGAGGGCACCGAGGAGAGGCACAAGCCGTTTGGTGTGGGGTGACGTCGAGGAAGAAAGGAGGCGGTGGAGAGAGGAGGAGGAGAGGGCGCGCAGGGCCATTGAAGCCGAGCAAATTCGGAGTCGGAACTTGAGGGATCGGGAATATCTCGCACGGATGGTGGCGGAGCAGAACAGACGGATCGAGAAGAGGCGGGGTCCGGACGAGGGAAGAAAGGTTCGGTTTGAGAAGGGGTACTAAGGCATTCACGGGCACTCATTTTGGCTGTCGTAAAGGGTTCAGGTCAAGCAATATCCTGGTTGGGGTTTAGTTTCCTTGGACCGATTCCTTTTCCTTTTTTTGTGACCCAAGGTTGCCACGGAACCAAATGGGAGGATGGCAAAACGGTGTCTGACGGGTCGTAGCAGTTAACGACGTGATGTTTGAAACATTATTCTTAATCTAACTCAATGTTGCTTGCGATGCTCAGCTCTCCGGTGTTGTCATGTGTGTGCAGTGTGCAAAAAGGGGCCCGCCCCTGACGGTTGCCCGGTTGGATTTAAGCTACAAGGACCCACCTCCCAAACAAACCCCTGAGCCTTTCCCACCCAACTTTGTTCCCACACAACAAAAGTTTGACCGACAATGGGATTTCGTCTGGTACTCTGCGCTCCAAGACGAAGAGGGGCAAAAAAATGGCAATCGCCGGGAATTGAGCCCGACGTGGGGGTCGAACCCACAACCTTGAGATCCCTCAAGGAGACATTCAGAACCTGACACACCTGATTAAGAGTCTCACGCTCTACCGATCGATTGAGCTAGCCGGGCGGATGCCGGTTTTTATTGTGTTGTTGGCCAGGTATTGATGCCTGAACGGTCCGGGATTTTTGCCGTGCATGGTGATTTTCTCTGTTGTGCTCCGAGGGAACCCGCATTCCCGGCCGGGGAAGCTCGGCTTGGTCTTGCGGGCTTGGCATGGGAACGCAGCATCTCGGGAGTTGCCCCCACCCGGTCGTGCCCACATCGTCAGACCTCCTTCGGAACGAAGCTGCAACCCACCGCTGGATTCGTTGCACCACATCGTCTCGGTGTTGCTTTTCGGGCAAGGACCTCGCCCCTTTTCATCGACCCGCTTAAACACGTGGGTGTGTGTTGGCGGCGATTCGGGTTCCGGAGGCGGGGATGGAGATTCCGCGACGGTTGAGATATTTTGGTCTTGTTGGGCATGCTCCGGTCATCCCGGGTTGTGCGCTGCTTCCGGAGTAGAACTGAATGATGCTTGAAGATGAGAGTCGTGTTCCTACGAGGGCATCCATCCGGTTGCGGCTCGTCCTGCAGGTTGGGCATTTTGGTTATAACCAATCATAGACGCTTCACTGCAGTTTTGGGCGTCCTGGAGCTCTCCACGCCAACAGGGGCTGGCATTTTCCCAAAATTCCCATCTTCGAACCGCCCACGTTTGATTGAAAGGGACCGACATCGAGAGATTTCCTATCCTAATCTTTTCAATGCATCAGAACATGGTTTAAAAAAAAAAAGGAATGCATACAATGCATTGGCAAGATACCAGGGAAATCGACTTAATCTTCATGCTCCGGGGAGAGAGCGAAATGGTGTAGGTTTGCAAATTTATCTCATACAAGAATGATCTTCTTGACCTCTTGCTTTTCAAGTCCCCGCAGTACACCTTTACTCAAGTGATTTTTGGCGAGGTGCATAGTTCCAACACGACGAAACTCGCCGCCCTCCGGTCCACCATCACGACTCCGAGTAGGCTGTATGAGGAGAAAATGTTGATACGAGTCGCCAGGGGCAGCTTGAAACCTTGCCGTCCCAATTAGCAGGGCGGAAACCGGCGGCTCAAGCTCAAGAATGGCGTTGTGCGACTCGCAATCCCTGGTTGCGTGACCTTTCTTGCAGCAGCATGAATACCCGTCGTCAAAGGGATAGTCCAGATATGAAATCCCGCTGTCTTTTGGGCCTAGTCCCTCAATGCAGAGAGCCAGATCTCGAGCGTGGGACAGGATCTTCAGTACGGCCTCTCTGGGAAGAACAGGTCCGGATAACTCCAATCTGACCGAGTCGGGGTTCTTATCGTCGGTCTTGATCGACAGCAGTTGTGTGCAAGGCCCCTCTTGGATTTGCTCGATTGCTGTTTTGGAAAGTGGGATGCCACCGGCACTGTCGCACCACCGCGTCCCCAGCCAAGTCCAGGATGGGAAGACGGCGCGTTCCAAGCCGCCACCCGAAGACGGACCACCGCATTCTGGCATGCCGCAGTTGGAGCAATTGGATGATTTGGGAACTGGCGGGTGTTGGTGAAACGAATCTTCACGCGGTAAATCGGCAACCGACTTGCGTGAGCGCTTCTTGGGCGACCGCCGCCGACACCTCCAGGACACAATGTCCTCGACGATTCGATCTTTCCACAGTCCAGCGATTGTCTCGCGGCCTGAAGCCCTCGAGAAGGCATCGGCAATGCCGCAGAATGCAAACCATTGATCTTGGTGGTTGCTCAGTCGTCGTTCGGTGTAGCACTGAACAAGCCAAGACCAGTCCCGGTTAAGCCGGTCGAGACTCCGGGATGTGTCGGTGTTGTCGGTGGGCAAGAATCTCGACCAGTCCTCGCGTTTGTGGGGACACCAGCCGCCCAGCGTATCCCAGGATCCCTCCCGGCATTCCAGCGTGACATTATGCCCAAAAATGTAGAGGACGCGGGACGAGTTCAGGCTCTCCTGGAATGTCCATCCTCGTTGGTTCCAGGGAGAGCGGGAAACCGACTTTCTGCTCCCGGGCGCCTTGTTAGATAGGATCAGGTCTGACCCTGAGTCGGATTTCCATGGTCCTCGCAGTTTGCAGGAAAGTGGTCGTCCATGGCCGGTTCGCATCCCTGAATCGGCTGAATCGGCCTCAACGGGGACGATGGTGACACGGGCTTGACCGTAATACTCCATCATCTTCTGGGCTTCGCTCATCCACTCTCTCTTGCAGTCTTGCACGATGCAGAGGGCGTCGATCCAGAGATATTGGATGCCCAGCGAGCGAGTGACGGTGATGGCGTCTTGGAGAGTTTTCGGAAGACTGGCAAGGGAGATCTCGTTCATTCGCTCGTCGATATTGCTGGCAGTTGTCTTGGCCGTTTTCATCGCGCTTGAGGCCCCCCAGCAGTAGCTCAGGGCTGCATAGACGGGTTTTCGTCTTCCAGGCTTCTCCAACTTGATGCGATCCCCGTCCATGACCTTGACCAATCTGAGAGGACAGGACGTCTGTTTAGGCCCAGGACATGACTGATGGGTATGCACACAGCTTTCAATGGCGGTGCGTATCAATTTCAGGTTGTTGCTCGATAACGGCACAAAGTCTGGGACTCGTTAGTCTGCTCCGCACGACGGTTAAGTATTAGACTAGGGAACACCGACCATCAGAGCGAAAGACATGAACCTCACCCCAGCGCTTCTTGGAGTCGACGTGACCCGAGGGCACAGCGCTGCCAATGGACAGTTCTTGGACTTCTTTCAATGGCATCCCACTCGCGCGGGTCCTTGGATTCCCAACACAGTAGAATCGGAGTGTGGTTTTCGCAGCGCCATTGTCGCCAACAGAAGCCCCCCGAGGGATGGTGATTGCGGACCTCAGGAGAGCGCAGCATGGGCATCCAGACCTCGCGCTTTTTGCCAGAGCCAGCAGCGAAGGCGCTCTGTCCTTGAACGTCCAGTCAAAGTGGTGCTGAATGGGAAGCTTGGCATCAGCGCGCTTCGGCGGGATTCCTGGTCGGATCTTGGTGGTGTAGACGCTTTTCAATGCGGAAACAAAGGTCCCACACAGCTCACATCCTTCCTCGTTGCCGATTGGGGGGCCCATCCTGAATTGGCTACGGTGGTGGTCGACATTTGATGTGCGGGGGATCCCGTCACCATGCCAGACGTTGCCTCCCGCGATGCGATGGAGGGAGGATCACGCGGCGAAGCGCGTCGTCCCCCGCGTCAGAAATGTGCCGGGGTGCGGACCAATGGCGTCTTGGCCAGATTGAGTTGGTCCGTCATGATCTTAGTGCGCCCCGCAAGTCGATTCCATCCTTCCAAGTTCATGCGAGAAGTGATGATTCTTCCTGGTGTTTTTATCTACTCGATGAGCAACTGCGCACATCGCCATGGCGCCCGAAAGGGTTCATCGTTGAAAGTGCAAAAGTCGAAGGTGCATGCCAGCAGCGAGCCGGCATGTCTCACATCCCCTGCATGAATCAACCGGACACGGAGGCGTCCGACATGGGTTCTGGTTGGCTTCCAGCGCAGTCGTCACGGAGGGGTCATTTGTCCGGACGGGACTCCGTCGTTCACTGAAGCTTTTTTTTTTTTTTTTTTTCTTCGTTTTCACTGCGCATCGGTGCGAATCTCAGTGCATTTTCAGCCATCCATCGCGCCGTTGCATCGGACGCCGATTTCATCTCAGCGGCCACTCAAAGAATCTCAAGTCGGATCTGGGAACATCGTCGATTGACATGGCTTCCCTCATCGAACGTCTCACGTCGGCCACTTCGTCGCGGCCGGTTTTAACATCGCTGTGCGCCACCGCCATTCTTGGCATCGCGTGGTTTGTCGTCCACAACACCGTTTTTCTTTTTGGGCCAAGACGAACTGATTTGTTGGTGCAGGACACTCAATGATTTTGTCTCGTGGAGGGCATTTGGCACGGGCGGCACACCGCCGACATGGGCGTGAGTCTCATCTCATCATCTCTCTCTCTCTCTTTCTCTCTCTTGGTTGAACCTCGTCATTGACATGGTCGTCGAAGCGGGTACTTCCGGATGACCAAGTTCCGTCTCAACCACCTTCTCTCTGGTCCGGACCTCCTTGACCCGTCGCCACTCCCGACCACCGGCCCTTCGTATCTCAGCTCCCCTCTCCCGCCCCGTGCCGGCGGACGTGCCCGCATCATGCCGCGCATCATGCCGCAGCGCCAGGTCCCCGAACCCATCGAGCCATCCACCCGTGTTCATCTTCAAAGCCTGGTCAGTCGACTCGCTGCCGAGCACCCTGGCATGTTGGAGGCCAAGCCGAGCCACACCGAGGGCCGGTCGACCGCCGGACTGTACGCCCTGGCTGGGGTGCCGACACTCAACATCCAGGCACGCGACGACAAGCAGCTTGCTCGTGAGATTGCCCATGCACATCCGGCCGACAACAGCCTGCACGTGTGGCTGAGCGGACCCGACGCGAGAAAGGTCATTGAGGCGAGATGGGGCCAGCGGTTCCCGCTTTCGTTTGTGAACAGTGGATGGACCATGGTGTATGCACCGAGGACGGATGCCGAGATGGCTGTGGTGGAGAGAATCGTCAAGGCGGGCGTGGCATGGGTTACTGGGGTCGAGATTTGAGTCAAGACGCAAGTGTGCTTTCTCTATGCGAGGAGATGAGCATCTCATTTCTCATCCGCGATTTATATACAGCGACGACTTTTCCACCTCGGCCGCCCATAGCTTCCACGGCTTGTCCTGCGTGCCCTCGTTCATGACCGTGCAGCCCCGACACATGTCGTCCGTAAGCGGCTCCAGCTCAAACTTGGCTTCTGTCGCAGGACCAAAGGATGGCAGGGCCGACCGCAGAAGCATGGCGTTGGTCTGCACGCCCGCGTTGACCTTGGTGTAGATGGCGCGGTACACGGCCGTCTCAATGTCTTTTCCGTGGGTCGAGTACCCGTGGCGTCGCATCAGCACGACAGCATGATCCGGGGTTTCGGCTCCGTCGGCAGAGAACTTGGCTGCCAGTGCACTTCCCAGTCGGGAATCGCGAACCAAGAGGTCCTGCTGATCCCCTGGGCTGTAGAGAGTC